TAAGTTTGGAAATATTAGGATCTTAATGAAACAGACAGAATAAAAATCAAGTTCGACAGTATCTAGTTGTTATTAAATCATTTCAGCAAACTACTGACCATCTTCTAAAACACTACTAAAAAACCCATCAGTCATATCTAACCTACAGTCAGCTATAAAATTCTCCCACTTCATCAGGTTGCTAGTTAACTCCTTCCCACCTTCATCCCTCTCCCTCAGTGGCCAGGCCCTACCCACCCTCAGGATTCAACTGAAAGCACACAGGCTGCACCTAGACAAGCATGGGTGGGAGCAGAGAGGGGTAGCAAAATGCTAATTAGTCCATGGCAGTGGCATCTATTTTAGATTTCCTACTTCGGTTATTGGCTTGGAGCCAGAAGATGGGCAGCTGCTTCTTCAGCTCCAGATTTACAAGGCAAGGAAACAGAGAGCAAACATTTTTTCAAGTTTCAACATAATGCGAGTTTCCCTTAAACACAAAACCTCATTCACTTCCTTCAGGAACCAGTTTGGAACTTCTCCCATCCTAAACTTTTTACCATAAGCAGCCACGTTTGACCAAATGCCTTTATTATGCAAAGCTAAGAGCTTCAAAATAAGTATGAGGCAGTCAAATTATCAAAATCAGAGGGCACAGAAAATTCACCCAACTGGTTTTTGTCCACCTCCAAATACAATGCATTGACTATTTTCTTTCAGCAGCCACCTCCCATCAAATTGTCCTTCAAGCAGTCCCACAGCCTTATTTCAAGGATAATTTATTAGAATCAATCTACCCAGGTGAATTGGAACCTGACTAAAACTCTGGTAAAAAATATTAAAGTTCCCCACACATCGACACTTCAGTGGGATCTGGAAACATCCATAAAGTACAAAATAATTTCCAACACCAGCAGCAGCAGCAAACAAATGTTATTGTAACAGTTATACAACAAAGTTTTTCTAACACTTTTGCAGACCATAAAAAGCCCCAACATCCCTACTGAAAAGTGTCTAATACCACAACCCAATTTTCGAATGTAAGCTTTAAAGTGCCAGTTAAAAAACAAAAACAAAACAACAAAAAAGCCTTCTGGTGCTCTTAAATCAGTACTAATTCACTATGAGCCAGAGCAAGTTACTAAATCTCTCACAATTCCCCATTTTCACACTGACATTGAGGGGGGTTAAAAATCCCACTGAGCTCTCCCACCCCACCCAGGTCCCACTCTCCATTTCACTTTATCCAAGAAAAACCAGGAGCGGATGGTCATAAACATCTAATTTTCACCTTTTAGACCGTGAGATCTCTTTGACTCCTGAACTTTGTTTTAAAGGAATTGTGAGGATACTGTGGTTAAGTGTCCCAGCTGCTAACTAGAAGAGCCAGTAATTCACATCGACCAGTTGAATGAATGGGGGGCAAGGGACTCACTGCTTCTGTAAAGATTAACAGCCGGGGAAAGCCTATGGAACAGTTCTACTCTGTCCTATGGGGTTGCTATGAGACTGAATCAACATGAGGGCAGGAGTAGTTTGGATTTTCTTTTTACCAGGAACATGTAGGTCTAAAATTTGTGAGACCAGATCTGCTAGGCATCTAAAGAATGAATGTTGTACAAACAAGTGAATTTTGTCTCAGAGTATAAAGGTTCTACAGCAACACATTGTGAGAAGGGGCTACAATGGGAAGGTAAGACAACACAGGAGCCATACACTTCAGTGTTTCTGCATTGAGCCTGAAGATGTGCCAGATTTCATCTGGAGGTGCCATCCTCCTTAGGTTTAAGGAAAAAAGTATGACAGTAATTTTCAAACAGTTACATCAGCCCTCCCAACTCCAGCACCTGTACTGAAACAGCACAAAAGTACAATTGTCCTTTGGCAGTTAAATTTATAGTTAATTCCCCTATCCAATATCAATCCATTAAGCTAACTAGAATCAACAGAAGATGTCAAACCAAGATGCCCTACATATTTCCTGGAATTACTTAATAATGACAACATTATTGATCAGTAGTGTTGGGGGGCCCAAATCCCACAATTTCAAGCCCTTTAAACAAAGTAAAGTTCATTAACCCCCCACCGTGTTATCATTATCAATTCTACAGAACCCAAACAGCCTTTAGATCCACCAGTTAGATACCAACCCTTCGAATCTTTACTTAGCTAAGCAAGAGGTTATGGGCTCTGCTCCCTAAACTCCCAGCTAGCTCACCCTCAAAACTTAAATAATATTCACAAATAGCAGAGGCTGCCAGTACTTGGGTAGGGGCCAGGATGTTCTAAATTCCTAACTGCAACTATGTACTATGGTAAAGCATGAACTAGCTCCACAGGAAAAACAAATCTTTTCAATGTTATGGGCTGAAGGCAGGCAAGATAAGGAATATCTGACTTTAACATATAAATTTGCATTTAATCTGTAAAATGGGTTATACCTGCTTAAAACCATGCTTAAGCAAACTCCTCTGAACACAAATACCCATATCAGTCTGAACATAATTAACACTGAATTTTAAAAATACTGTCAATCACTAGGAACCCATATATATAACTTGATAGAGCAAGCACAGTGACACTACATCATTCCTCCAAATGATATTCACAAAAATAATTACTTCAGTTATTTACACTTGGAAGAGAAAAGTAGAGGTTTTGTTTTGCCAGATTTAGCTTAAAATTAAGTAAATGCCAAGCAGGGAGATAATCACCGCTTTCCTTCCTCAGCTCTACGCGAGAAAGCAAAGATCCTAGGCTTTTTAACACCCTCACACTAGAGTGCTGAAGATCAAGTACTTTGCAGCCCACAATCCACTGCCCTTGAGCAATCAAATGTAGATAACAGAACCTAATCCTAAGGATCCTAACCCTAAACACCCATCCAAAGGTTGAATTAGGGAATGCATGGAAAAAGCTAAAAACAGTGCCTGGCAGGCAGTTAAGTAAGTGTTCAACAAACAGCCACTATTACTACAGACACAGCCTACAAAAGACTCTTAGCAATCTTGCCTCACTGCCTATAAAAATGACAGTAAAAGTAACGACCTGGCCCACAATGCTTCACATTTTCAATAGCTCCTTAGTAGAATTCAAGTTAAGAGCAGAAGTTAACTTACTCATAAGGAAGGGCCAAACTTTTTTTTAATCACTAAATATATTACTTTTTCCCAGCTAAGTCAGAAGTCTGCTTTATTAAGATGTCACCTTCCTCTAAAGCAGCTATTCTCAACCTGTGGGTCGCAACCCCTTTTGGGGTCAAATGACCCTTTCACAGGGGTCACCGGATTCATAACAGTAGCCAAATTAGTTATCCAGTAGCAGCGAAAATAATTTTATGGTTAGGGTGGGGGTGTCACCGCAACATGAGGAACTGTATTAAAGGGTCGTGGCATTAGGAAAGTTGAGAACCACTGCTCTAAGGGAAGTCCAAGGCTTTTGACACCCTCATTGTCACATCCTATAAGGAAACATGCTTTGGGAGACTTGTCTGGACACCCAGAGCCTGGTGTCTTCCCTCTTTAAAATCCTGATGAGTTGGCTGGACTGGCAAGTTAAGAAACTACTGACAATTCTCTCAGTACCAAGTGTTGCACAAGAACAACTCATAAGTTACCGCCTCTAATTTCCCCACCCCCAGACAAAAATAAGTCCTGTTTGCTCCCAAAGCCCTCTGAGCATAAATAAGCCCCAGCACCTACCTTATAATTAACTATTTATGTCTCCTCCAAAAGACCGAATGACTTGAGGGCAAGAGCAGTGCTGGAGTGGTGGGGTCAACTCTATCGATAACCATGGCGGGTGGGAGAGGCGGGAGTGGCACTTATTAGATGCCACACTGGAACAGGATTCTCTCCCAGTGGAGTACCATCTCTTACTGGGGCACTTCAAAACCTGAACCTAAGACTGCTCCCCAGTAAAGCAAAATAACACAATGGACTATCCTGCTGATTACAATATCAGAAAGCCTACTCATTCGCTTCTCCCATCCAAAAAGTTCTGGGAACCCAAACTCAATGGAATAGGATTAGGTCCATCAGACTCAGGAGGGATTTCCCAGCACAGTGCAGAGGGTACGTTATTCAGGGAGAACTCCACAAGTCTGTAAGGATGAGCTTTTTATTACACAATCTTCTCTGGGCAACTGAGTTGCAAATACTTGTTTGAAGAATAAATGTTTTGAATTGGTGGAAAAGGGGTAAAATTATAAAGGACTGGGAAAAGCAAGCCATCCCTTGATACCTGGGAAACAATGCTTTCTGGAAAATGATCAGGAAGTAGAGGCAGGTACTACAACCACTTTTTGCTTCACTAAATAAAATCGGTGTTAACCTCCTTTTCCCACAGTCCAAATGAAGGGACCAACAGCCCACGTGCAGCTGAGATGAGATGCTCAATAACCTTTCCTCGAGACAACTACACTAAACTCCGTTTCTAGGAAAAACTGCCTGGAGAACCTCAGTGAGTGAGAGAAGCTCCAGACATTACTACTTTAAGTTAAAAATAATAGTAACAATAATAATGAAAACATGCCATAGTCCCACATTTACAATGGATGGCCCAGGGAGAACTTGGAAACTTTTGGAAGGGAGGTGCTGTTGCCTTTATACACGCTATTATTAACTTGGGAAAGAAGCCTCGAAATAGGGAGAATCCCACAAAGGAAGGTTTTTGTTTCGGTGCCTCTAATTCCTATCACAAACATCTCACCGAGGGGGAGGAAGAATGGGGGTGGAGGGGGGAATCAACAGTTGCGAAGGCAATCTTTCGTTCTGGAACCAGAAAAGGAAACAAGTAGCAGAAAGGGAACACCACAATAAAGTTCCAACTGGGGGGCGGAAAAAAAAAATTCCATCTCCCACCCTCCCTCCCCGGGAGAGGGCTGTGGTTCGCACGGCTTCGCTCTGCAGACAGCTTTCCGGGCAGCTCGAGCAAGGAGCCGAGGGAGGGAGAGAAAGAGACTCAGGCACAGAAAGGAGAGCAGAGAGAAAAAGAAAATGGCGCAGAGACTAAGTCCCGACCGTCGACAAGGCGACTTTCCCGGGAGGAATCCGGGCCCGGAAAGGGTCCCCGAGGCCGGGCGGCGGGCTCTACGGGGTCTCCGTTGCCCCCTCTTGGGAGGGCCGAGACTTGGGGGGGCTGGGGCCCCCGGAAAGGGGGTCCAGAGGTGGCCCGATGGGAACAATGGGGCCGGTAAGCAAGGAGCTGGGACTTAGTCTCTGGGACGCCATGTCTGGTCCTCGGGCCGACTCCAGCCCGGCGCGGGGTAGCCGGCCGGCGGCGGGGCGCCCGGGG